CAGAAGTAAGCCATGGTAAAACAATTGTTAAGCCTCCGACGGGTGACGGCTTAATTGCCATGCATCCACTGAGCCCAATCTTATCAACAGTCGGGTGTCCTCAAAGTTGCAAACGGTGTGGGGAGGAGTTGAGGGGGGATGAGAGGGGCCCAGGGCGGATGTCTAAGAGACTATGTTCTTTTGTTCGGAAAATAACGTGTACAACCCCCTTCCCTCCTCTCCCACGCCCTGGAACCATGGCGGAAGTTCACATGAAATAGGAGAATGGTGGTAATAGGGGGTGGTTTATGAGATGAACCGTAGTCGTCTTTAACATTTCAAAAATAAAACACTGTTTGTTTTAATATATTTAAAAGGTACTTTGTAGGATAATAGCTCATGATAGGATATATAAATGCGTACTTTGCCTTACTTCCCCCCATGATATAACATAAATGTGCTTCCACAGCATAATTATGGGATGACCATTGGCAGAGGTACGACCTGGTCTCCTCAGCACCGAATATTATCAGCAAGGGTTTTTACTTAATCCGGTCCGGTGGTCATTATTCCTCAAAATATACGTCGTGAACATGACAGAATTATCATACTGGTTAAGTTTCGCGCGCGACTGCAACACAGGCCCAGTTCCAGTCACGTTGACTTTATATTGTCCTAGAAACATGGCCGGCATGTGAGGAGTAGGGCAAGATGGGAAAGGAGCTTGATTCACTTGACGCCTGGAAGGCACTCGAGCCCATCACGAGGGGGCGAAAACAGAAAAATTGGCGGCACGATACGGAACGCAGAGCTTCTATGCGAACACCAAGCTGTCAAAATTGGCAGCAGACTCGTCATCAACGACTGAGACTTCTGCGTGATGTTGATGATTAGTGTGTTTATTGCACCGCAATTTGACTCATTTGTGCGGAGCACTAAGTATAGGGCTTGCACGCGTACTCCCCGCCAGACAAATCTGTTCAGACACGGTTCATGCATCGAGGGACTGCGCAATTGACACGGCCGTCCGCTCCCGCGGGGATTTC